ATACTTATCTACCAACAAATAATATGTTTTCCCAGAAACACAATTTTGATATTGAATACTTTTCTCAAATTCAGGGCCAACAAGAAATGGTATATGTTCTGTCATTAGAAAACAATAGCAGTGTGGTCATTTAATGGTTCATCTGTAAAGATGCACGATATATTTCTAAGATAAAGCAAAGCAAAGTTTTTCCCTTGACAATCTGGAATGTCTTCTTTCATTAAATGAAAACTACATAATCCACCATGTTTTCTTTTTCTGCTTTGTATCAAATGCAGCACCTTTCCTTAGGTTAGATTTTCTATCATTATTATTTCACACACTGCCCTTCTTTCTCCTCGCTAGCACTTTGCTTTTATTCTTTTACTAATGTTATGAATTTGTATTTTAAGATTTTTTCTTGCCTTTTGCAAATATTTATTACATTCAAAATGAATAATTTTTAGAATAACGAATATGACTAATGTTTAGAATAATTTCTCTCATTTCCCACATTTTAAATTTTTAACTCTTCTACACTTTTATTTAAAATTTTTAAACTTTAGGTATAATTTACATATAATAAAAAGCTAAAATCTTAAATGTTTAGTTCCATTAGTTTTGACACTTCTAAAATTATAATTTGCATTAAATTCTTTTTGGAAGCAAGAAGGGTATAAATGAATAAATAACTAGTTGATTCATTCATGAGCTGATCTGTGACAATCTGGCAGGGGGAAACTGGAAGAGGTAGGACTAGAAACGATAAGACATTATAGCACCATATAGATAAGAATGACAGGGTTAGTCCAAAATGGTGGCGGTGAGAATAAAGGGGGACAAGATAAAACTGACATTATTATCAAGGCTGGAAATATAACCAGTATGAAAAAGAAGAGAAAGGAATAATGGCTGAGGAGCCCACCTTACATATTATTTATTTATAATGGACGTTCAAGAAAGACTTATTTATTCATTCAACAAACATTATTATGAGCCTATTTTGAATCAGGCATGAAAAAGTCAGATTTCTTGCCTCCTCAAACCCACAGTTGTAGCAGAAATGTAGTCAAGAACTCAGAAGTTACCCAAATCCTTAAACTTCTAATTGTTAACTAACAGGATACTCTCTCTCAAACTGATAAAAAACATCAGTTACACAACTAAATGATTTATAATACTGTTACTGTAGTGATGAATAAAACATCTACTTTATAGGCTACCTGATTATTTACCTGGCTTCTTGATGTAATTAAAATTTGAGAAGTGATGAGTTGCATAATGAGATTCACTAAATTTCAAATTGGTTGTATCTGTTATTTCACCCCCTAAAAAATCCCTGCAAGAAACAAGCTGATTCACCGACTTAACTCTCAGAAGTGTACAAACCTCACATTAAAATAAGTTTGGTCTGAGTCTATCAAATACAAAAGCACCTATTAAACATACTTGATTTCCTGAATTCATTTAACTCCCTTTGTAAGTAGTTACACTATATTTTTCAAATCTTAACCTAAGGAATTTCCAAGGTATCTAATTTCACGTTGGTTCCTTAATTAGAAGTCAAATTAAAGATCTCATAAAATCCAGCTTTCAATGATCTTCTTCCCTGTTAAAACACACAGCCCCTATGCTATTGCTCTTCCTCAAAAGAAGCAACTTTCAATAAAATTCAAGTTTATTAATATGATTCTTTCCTCAGCAAACGTGAGTATCTATCAAGGGTCAAAGTATTGTATAAGAATTAGAAATACAAATATATACTAATATACTGATAACAACAAAAAGTTTAATTCAACAAATAGTGATCTATCCATTTTTAAGCACCAATGAGTGAAATATGAAAAAACTACAAATAAACAGTTAAGTGAATAACAAGTCAAGTGAATAACAATATCAACATGTGGAAGGATATTATGATGTAGAATTAATATATTTTAATTCTCTGTCCAAAATGAAAGTAGAAGTAAACAAGCTCAGAGCATATAACTGCTTATATTCCATTGTTTAGTGATGACTAAAGAGATTACCAATTTGAAAGTAGATTACTAAGAAACTGTAACAGAAAATTTTTCTCCAATGAGAACACAAGCTTAACGACTACTCCTTTTTTTATTACTGTTCATTCAAAGTTTCTGCCTGTCTTCTAATATGAACACAAATACTATCTGTTTTCCACACCAATGCAATGCAAAGAAATTCAGCCCTTTAAAGTTTTAAGTTCACTGATTATAAGTAAGGCTCACATTTTTTGGTGTCACTTGATTCTAGATAAATTTCCTAGTCAAAACAATAAAAATAAGTTACAATTCGGGCGGACTCATCAACAAACCAACAAAAGATGCTGAGCATGAGTGTAGCTCAAATTAAAAAGGTGTAAAATCAGCATAAAACAAGCTACTGCAACGTACTACTTTTAAACTAAGTAATTTCTGAAAGAAAAATAAATTGCTCTTAAATTACCTATATTGATACCCAAAAGGAAAAGTTTCAGCCCAAACTGAATCTAACTAGAAAATAACAGCAACAGTAAAATACAAAAGGGTAATTCAGAATTAAAAAAAAAAAAATTTAGGGGCCAGCTATGGGGCCGAGTGGTTAAGTTTGCGTGCTCCACTTCAGCGGCCCAGGGTTTTGCCAGTTCAGGTCCTGGGTGCACACATGGCACTGCTCATCAAGTCATAGTGAGGCGGCATCCCACACAGCAGAACTAGAAGCACCTACAACTGGAATACAACTATGGGGCCGGCCCGGTGGCTTAGCGGTTAAGTGCAAACGTTCTGCTTCAGCGGCCCAGGGTGAGCCAGTTGGGATCTGGGGTGCAGACACAGCACTGCTTGGCAAGCCATACTGTGGTAGGCATCCCACATATAGAGTGGAGGAAGATGGGCATGTATGTTAGCTCAGCGCCAGTCTTCCTCAGCAAAAAAAGGAGGATTGGAAGATGTTAGCTCAGGGCTGACTTCCTCAAAAAAAAAAAAAAAAAAAAAAAGATTACAACTATGTACTGGGGGGCTTTGGGGAGAAGAAGAAGAAGAAAAAAAGAAGAGTGGCAACAGATGTTAGCTCAGGTGCCAATCTTTTTAAAAAAACAACAAAACACATTTATGTGGGGCTGGCCCCGTGGCCTAGCGGTTAAGTTTGGCACATTCTGCTTCAGTGGCCTGGGTTCATGGGTTCGGATCCTGAGCACGGACCTACACCATTCACCAAGCCATGCTATAGCTGTGAACCACATACAAAATAGAGGAAGACTGGTAAAGATGTTAGCTCACAGTGAATCTTCCTCAAGCAAAAAGAGGAAGATTGGCAACAGATGTTAGCTCAGAGCCAATCTTTCTCAGCAAAAAGAAAACCCATTTAAAAAACATTTATGTGTCTAGAGGCTGTGCTATCTTCAATCCTTGAGAAGTAACCTCTACATTCAACTACCCCCATTCCACACATACTTTCTTCTTCCAATTCCTTTGGGCTTTAAAAAATGAGTAAACTTTAAATATAAATATATAAAGAAACCACTCATATGAGCTTTTAAAATGAAGACATGTCTGAACTATGTTCTAATATACAGCTAATGTCATATTAAGAGGGATAAGGGGAGGATTGGGGGAACAAAAATAAATTATGAACCTAAAATTTAGCCAAGTAATGTAACTTCTATTCTCCAAAACTTATTTTAATCAATTTAGGAAAAAAAATTAGTTTAAAAAGATGTAATTTCATTCTGTGCATAAGATTAATACCACACCAAACATAAACATTCTTAAACATTATTCTTTGGTGAAACTGGTAATTTAAAAGTCAAAAGTGCTCTAAAATATTAATTCAATTTTATAGGAAACAAGAAAGAATGTTAGAAAATTTACCCAAAACAAGAGACCCAGGATTTGGAACCACTCACAATCATACCAATTCAATTAAACTAAATCTTGAGGAGCAATCCTGGAAAACAGAAGCCAAGAACGGCAACACTACCATCTGTCTCTCAGCCAAACCCTTTTTACACTTAAAGATTAAATTCTTCTCTTTCACAGTTACTAAACAATTTTTAATGCTATATTAAGAAATCACTAACAATTTAAATGCATAAATACACACTCATATACATTTTATTTTTTTAAAAAAAGGCATATCCCAAACATGAAAGCAATCAAAGAAGAGAGAAACAGGCTTAATACTGATTTTTTTTTTCCTCTCTCAATCAGTACTACCAAAAGGAAAGAAAGAAAGGAAGGGAAAAAAACTCGAGAGGTGGCCAGCATCCCAGAAGGCGTTTCCGCATAAAAAGAGTTAATGGGCTGAGGCTCAGCTAAAGAGTCAGTGACCATTTGCAAGCCTCCTGGGTATATTCCCAGCAGACACATTATCAGATTAAAGCACTGCAAACAAACTGGGCTGAAACCTTTCTTTGTCCAAGCCCAGCCTCTTCTTCCTGTGATGTCATATTACAAACCTAGCAAGCCTTTCTTTTTCACTTCAGAGAAAGCCCATCTCACAATACAGCTGGCAAAGAGAAAAAGGCCTCGATTCAGCAAGAGCTAACACGCGTAGGAATTTATTTCGGAACCCTTAAAAGACTCTTCTGGCTACCATCATCTGGGATCCACTGCAGGAATAGCAAAAAGGAAGACTTCATTTAAAAGGAGCAAGAAGTAAATGAGACCAAATTGGGAATGTTTAAGTCTCTGAAACTCTGCATCGAAGAGCAAAATAAGATTGTTGACTGTGGCTTAAACATTCTGGAGCATAAAGAAACTCTAATTTTGGAATATTCATATTGACTACTGAAATACACATTTAACAGATGAGTTGTTTTATTCCATCGTGGAACAGAGCATTACTTTAAAAATTATAATCCAATGGGTTGGCTTCAATGACTACCGTTTCTAAAGGTTGCTCGTCAGCTAACCAAGCCTTGGATTCACGGATTTTCTGTAGACTAGCAAATGAGAATATTTTCCTGTTGAAGAAATAAGTGGAAACTTTACAGCAACAAATTTCATGTTTCTTTTGGAGATTTCAGAGAAAGAGGAAATATTTATAAAACCTCCCAAAGATCCAAAGAATTTGCAAATACGCTGGAGGTTATAAAGTAGTCACAATCTGAATAGCAAAGGAGACTGCAGCTGACCAAAGGGCTTCATCACTGTGAACTGGACGTGCCTTTATAATGGTAAGCAGTAACAGCTCCGGCTGTGTCTACGATGACTCCTTTAAATACACTTTGTACGGCTGCATGTTTAGTATGGTGTTTGTACTTGGGTTAATATCCAACTGTGTTGCCATATATATTTTCATCTGCACCCTCAAAGTCCGAAATGAAACCACAACATACATGATTAACTTGGCAATGTCAGACTTGCTTTTTGTCTTTACTTTACCCTTCAGGATTTTTTACTTTGCAACACGGAATTGGCCATTTGGAGATTTACTTTGTAAAATTTCGGTGATGCTGTTTTATACCAACATGTATGGAAGCATTCTGTTCTTAACTTGTATTAGTGTAGATCGATTTCTGGCAATCCTCTACCCATTTAAGTCAAAGACTCTAAGAACCAAACGAAATGCAAAAATCGTTTGCATTGCTGTATGGTTAACCGTGATGGGAGGAAGCGCACCAGCAGTTTTTTTTCCGTCTACACACTCTCAGGGGAACAATACCTCAGAAGCCTGCTTTGAAAATTTTCCAGAAGCCACATGGAAAACATATCTCTCAAGGATTGTAATTTTCATTGAAATAGTGGGATTTTTTATTCCTCTAATTTTAAATGTAACTTGTTCTAGTATGGTGCTAAGAACTTTAAACAAACCTGTTACATTAAGTAGAAGCAAAATAAACAAAACTAAAGTTTTAAAAATGATTTTTGTACATTTGGTCATATTCTGCTTCTGTTTCGTGCCTTACAATATCAACCTTATTTTATATTCTCTTATGAGAACACAGACATTTGTTAATTGCTCAGCAGTGACAGCCGTAAGAACCATGTACCCAATCACTCTCTGCATTGCTGTTTCAAACTGTTGCTTTGACCCTATAGTTTACTACTTCACGTCGGACACAATTCAGAATTCAATAAAAATGAAAAACTGGTCTGCTAGGAGAATTGATTCCAGATTCTCTGAAGTTCAAGGCACAGAGAACTTTATTCAACATAACTTACAGAACTTAAAAAGTAAGATATTTGACAACGAATCTACAATATAAGCTGCCTGAAATAAAACCACTGGGACTTCACTGGGACAGAATTTCCAAGTTCCTTCAACTGTGAAAAGCATTTTTTTGGACAACTATTTCTCCACCTCTGAAAGAAAATAAACACGTGGAAAATTTTAAAGTTTTTAGTAAAAAAAAAAATTGTATTCAATGTGTTAGGCATTAAAATGTACTCTATTCTTGTACAAACTCCATTTTATTTGTCTGAGCCATTTTGATTTGTACCTTCCTCTTCATTAAAAAATCCCTTAAAAAGTTGTCCAAAGTCTAAAAGTGAACATGATTTGAATCATGTGGTGACCATTTGTACTGTCTTTGAATTTCTCAGTTATTTTATACTAATGATTTACAAATGCTAAAAGTTTTAAGTATTTAATATTTTTATTCAACATACCTCTAATTTCTAGTTCAATCTGAATTGAAACTACTAATTGTGTTTCTTAAACTATAACAACATAAACGAGAAGCAGTAATTTGAAGTAATAAGCATTTTTGAAGTATTTCTCAAAAAATAGCTAGAAATGTAGTCTTCTGTAGAATAATGACATACTAACACTATTTGAGGATCTTGAGCAGTTAACACTTACAGTATTTAGGATTTTGTCTTTGTATGCAATTTACAAAAAGCAAATGCTATCTAACTATATAGTGAAGTAGGCTTTAAAATTACTATTTTGATCCGTTTTCTGGATATAACAGCACCCAATTTCAAAATGATAAACGCCACAAAAATTGAGAAGGAGGAAACTAACAAAATGTTATTTTAATAAGTAAATTTTTTAAAAATAAAATACTACTAAAGGTACATTTTAAAGGTATATTTATCACAATAAATAACTTGCATTTTAAGTATTTTAGGTCAGAGAAACACCATAGCTAGTGAGATAGTGAAATACAATACTTTGCACTTAGAAAGTGATCAGTATATATACTACCTCCCTTCCTTCTTTGGACCATCTAAAGCCAAATATTGAATAGTTGAAAATACTATTTTAAGTAGGCAAAATATTATTGTATGTCAAAATTATCTATGAAATAAGAACATAGTTCCTTACATAAAAAATAGCAAAACTACAAGGCCAAATAACTAAGTACAACTACATTTTCATTTCACTAAACATAAAAAAGGTATGGCTTTGAGCTATCAAGTACACTAAAACATTTTCATTTTTCAACAGATTTTTTTTTTAATTCAAGTAATTCTCCAAAGTTAACTGAAAAAGAATGCTTTTTATTTGAGAAAAAGGACACATAATAAAATTCAGCATTCAACTTATCTGATTTTTACATCTTAATCTTTCAAGTCCTGAATACAACTTTGGACAAATACTCTTAAGATTTAAATTTGATGTTTGCTGTTCTCTGGGTTTGGGCTTCAACGATTTCAGACAAATCACAGTCATTTGCTACATAAGTAAATGCATTTTCAATAAAATAACAACGGGGCATTTTCTTTAGGGAGTCATGTCCTCTTTACATAAACCTAAAATAAAATAAATCTTTTAAAAAAAAAAGCTAGTAAAGAAATTAAGCGTGGTACTTTATATCCCAAGAGAAGTACACATGCTGTAAACATGTTTTCTTCAACCGATCCAGAAGTTCCCTTATTTGATATCACTCTTCAGAAAACAAATACATTTAGCACTCTAAAACATATATTTTTGAGCTGAAAAGCAAGTAACAACTTACTGATGTGGAGGAAAGGGGAGTTTGTAACAGATTTCTCAGAACTTTTCTCAGCTTAAATATCTATGAGTAAGATCTCAAAGAATAGATATCAATTTAAAATACAAACAAAATAGTCATCAGATAGTTGTTATTTACTATATTTACGGGAGAAATTACTATTACCCTCTTGTCAACAGGAAGATGAATCAAAAGTTTGTAAGATTCTTCACAAAGTATACATAACAGATGACAAACATCGGTTTTCTCATCTTTAAAACTTCAAATCCCAGGTAAATCTTACCTTCACAACAGAAAGAGTATTAAAGTTCTTTTCCTTTGTTACTGTTGCACTTTAAGGTAAATTATATATTCCGAGGGCTTTCTCCTTCCCCAGAAAATCTAAATCAATAGAACTCCAAGGATTTTACTTTCTGTTACCTTAAAATGACAACAGCTAATCCTCCCTCCCAAAAAACTATGCCCACTGTTTTTAATATCTTTCCTTTCCAGATTAACTCTCTTCAAAGGAACAGAAGTAAAATGAGAATTTTTTTTTTTTTTGAGGAAGATTAGCCCTGAGCTAACATCTGCCACCAATCCTCCTCTTTTTGCTGAGGAAGACGGGTACTGAACTGACATCTGTGCCCATCTTCCTCTGCCTTATATGTGGGAGGCCTGCCACAGAATGGCTTGACAAGCAGTGCGTAGGTCCATAGCCGGGATCTGAACAGGCAAACCCCAGGCTACCAAATTTTTCGAGGTGTGGAGAAAAGCTTTACAGCATCCTAATGATTGATTATGAACTTTGAAATGATCTTTTCTGAGAAAATATCAAGCAAGTAACTAGTTTACCAAAAGAATGTATGAAAATATATGTATTATATATAATACATCCACAGAAAATTCAAAGAAACTGAAAGCATTACTTTATCCAGGAGTTTTGACTTTATATTCTACATTCAAAATACTAAAAGTAAATCTCAGATATCAATCTTAATTATATAGTATTTAAAGAAATTAGTCACTCAATTGAGGAATATAAAATAGAAAATGAAACATCAGCCAACTTCATATACCAACTGAGAAACATTTAATTACGAATTATATGTAGCAGCAAGAGTCTGAAGCAATTGCTTTTTGGTCCTGCAATTTTGGACTCCTGATGAACCAGGTATCTGGTCTTTTGTCAATATATTAAGTTACTATTACCTAGTAAAATCTTTATTACCTCCCAACTATTTTACTACCCAAACTTTTTTAGTGTCTGCATGCCAATCCAACTCCAAATGTCACAAATGAGGAAAGATGTTACCTGGTGCTCTTATTTGTGAATGAATTTTTATATAGGAAATTTTGTAAACAGTGCTCACTAGTGGATGAATCTTAAGGTAGTTCTAAGGTAAATTTTTTTTTTTGAGGAAGATTAGCCCTGAGCTAACATCTGCCACCAATCCTCCTCTTTTTGCTGAGGAAGACCGGCCATGAGCTAACATCCATGCCCATCTTCCTCTACTTTATATGTGGGATGCCTACCACAGCATGGTGTGCCAAGCAGTGCCATGTCCGCACCCGGGATCCAAACTGGCAAACCCCAGGCCGCTGAAGTGGAACGTGCGCACTTAACTGCTGTGCCACTGGGCCAGCCCTGTAAGGTAAATGTTTTCAAAAAGCTTCTTTGGGCTGGCCTAGAAACCAAATTATCCATTTAAAACATGATTTCTAAGAGGGGCTGGCCCCGTGGCCGAGTGGTTAAGTCTGCGCGCTCCGCTGCAGGCAGCCCAGTGTTTCGTTGGTTTGAATCCTGGATGCGGACATGGCACTGCTCATCAAACCACGCTTGAGGCAGCGTCCCACATGCTACAACTAGAAGGACCCACAAGGAAGAATATACAACTATGTACTGGGGGGCTTTGGGGAGAAAAGGGAAGAAACAATAAAACCTTTAAAAAAAAAACATGATTTCTAAGAAATAAATTCCTAACTAAACAGGACTAATGGACAAACTTAGGGACACAGAACATATGTAAACCAACCAGAGTATTTAATGATCAACAATATTATTTAATTAAAAAAATTTTCCAGAGATCAACATAAACATAATTCTAAAATCACTAATTCTCCAATTTCTATTTTATCTCTTTCTCCATCTTTTTTACCTAATGTCTGCTATTTTCTGACCGTCAATTTTATGAAAGTACAAAGAATATAATTAAACAGGGCAATAGACCAGCACAATAAAAGAATAAGAAACTAACTTCAGGCAAACTTCTCTACTAAGTCTTTCCCCTTCTTCCCTCTCTCAAAAAAGATTTACTCTAGTAACTCCTTAACAGAGTACAAAATTACCTCTTTCATCACTTTATGAAAGTGCTGAAAAGCAGTGGAAAAAACAGAATCCAAGAGGACCCCAGAAGTAGAGATAATCATGAATTTAATAGCTACCAAACAAAACTTGCTTTACTCATATAGATTCAATCAAGTAATTCTTGAAAATAAAGTTTAAGTAAATATTAAGAATGAGAAACAAATATATGTTACATACTTACAGCCAAGTTGTAGTTAATAGTCATAGGGTGAACGTACTGAATTCTAGTACCTTCCTATCAAAATGGCTTCTGGTAAATTCACAATTTAGAGCTGAAAGAGCCTGGAGATATCCGACACAACTACTTCACCTTAGATTGAGGAAACGGAAGAACTAAAAGGCTAAGTAAGTTGCAGAGGGTCACATAACAAATTAAGGTAGAGCCAGGATAAGTGACATGCCTATTTCTTCAAAAGCAGCAAGGGAAGGAGCACATGCAAAGGCCCTGTGGGAGAGAAGTTGGTATGCTGAAAAGATTAAAAGAAAGCCATAGTGGCTCGAGGTGTAGTGCTGAGATCTTTGATGTACTTATAGGGCATGAAAAAGCCCTGTTAAGATCTGAGGAGATGTGGAAAGCACTGAAGGACTGATTTGAAGTAGAGGGAGAGACATGATCAGAGTTGCATTTCAAAAAGATTCTTCTAATTACAGGGTAGAGATGCATTTGTCTTCAGCAAAAAGAGAAAAAGAATCATAATAAGAGCTATATTTATTCAATTTAAATTTAAAAAGCTGTTCTCATCCTTTATTTTGACTATGTCCTTTCTCTCTTATTAAAATTGCCTCTCTTTTTTGAAATGATGGTGATGATGGATGGGAAGAATACCTTAATGTTGTTACTTGGCATATTTAGTTAGCAGCCCTTGTGGAAAAAATGGTACATTCCTACACCGCTGGTGGGAACATAAAACGTTACAATCGTTACAGATGGGAATTTGGCAATATTTAACATACACACATTTATCCTT